TATATATATATATATTAATACCAGATTTAAATTAGATATAAACTAGTTCAACGGTTGAACACCAGATTTTGATGAGATTTAAATTACTACTCCACAATTCACTGTAACAACATCTATAAATACACCTACATACTGCTCTCATCATATACACATTTGTACGTATATATGTATGCATTGTGAATCATATCATAATTAATGGCATGTTTAACATTCACTGCGATTCTTATTGCTTTGTTTTGGGTTTCTCTACTGCTACTACTCCAATTGACAACGACTAATGCAACCAAAGTTTCTCATGATGGTAGGGCCATTACAATTGATGGCCAACGTCGACTTCTCATTTCTGGTTCCATTCATTATCCACGTAGCACCACTAAGGTACCGAATATCATACATTCTTCTTTATAATTAATTAATTATACATATATATATACATTAATTTACTTTTCATTACTAATTAAGTTGTATATACATGCATGATGATGATCCATATATATATATATATATGGTATTTAGATGTGGCCTGATTTGATTAAGAAAGCAAAGGATGGAGGAGTTGATGCAATTGAGACTTATGTTTTTTGGAATGCCCATGAGCCTTTTCGTCGTCAATATGACTTTTCTGGCAACTTGGATCTCATAAGGTTTATAAAAACGATTCAAGATCACGGCTTATATGCGGTTCTTCGCATTGGACCTTATGTCTGTGCCGAATGGAATTACGGGTATGCATGTCTTTCTTTTTTGCATTATAAGTTTTTCAAAGCTAGCTACTTTTATATATATATATATATATATATAGAATCTCTTATTTAATTATTTTGATAAAATGGCTTCAGAGGATTTCCACTATGGTTGCACAACATGCGTGGAATAGATCTTCTACGAACAGCTGATACGGTGTACATGGTAATCATGCATCTTTGAGTTATTGACAATTTATTACGATTTTAATTATATATAAATAAAGATGGTAGATTATTTGTCTAGACTAAGAAATTAATATTGTAAGGCAATTAATATAATTACTTGTTGTTGTTGTTAATTAGAATGAGATGCAAAATTTTACTGGAATGATAGTGGATATGGTAAAACAAGAGAAATTGTTTGCTTCGCAAGGAGGACCCATCATTCTTGCTCAGGTATATATATATATATAAATTCATGTTTAATTAATTAGTTAGTGATATATGCTTGAATTAATTTATATTGTATATTAAAACTATAATGAATAGGTCGAGAATGAGTATGGCAATGTGATGAAACCTTATGGGGATGCTGCAAAAGCCTATGTTGACTGGTGTGCAAGGATGGCTGATTCACTTGATATTGGTGTCCCATGGATTATGTGTCAACAGGATGATGCTCCCCAGCCTATGGTAATTATACATACACACACACACACATATATATATATATATATATATATATATATAACCATTCATTCGCATAATATATACTTATCAACAATTACTTAAATTTCTATTTAAAAATTGATCTGATCATAATTAATTAATGTTATCAGATAAATACGTGCAATGGCTGGTATTGTGATCATTTTACACCCAACAATCCCAACAGCCCAAAGATGTGGACTGAAAACTGGACCGGATGGTATACAATTGGTTTTTCCATATATATATATATATATATATATCATCAACGTACTTTTCTTCTTCAATGAGATTTATTTAATTATTTTGGTTTGGATATATCAGGTTCAAGAGTTGGGGTGGTTCTGACCCCATGAGAACAGCGGAGGATCTTGCTTATGCTGTTGCAAGGTTTTTTCAGCTTGGCGGCACTTTCCAAAACTACTATATGGTATTATATATAACTATAATGAATTAAAATTTCATATCTTCTCTTGTTTTTCCTTTATATATATATAATTAATTCAATGATTTAATTAATATATATATTACAATGACTCCTGCCTGCCTGCCTGATTTGTGTCAGTATCATGGTGGCACTAATTTTGGTAGAACTGCCGGCGGTCCATATATTACAACCTCATATGACTATAATGCACCTCTCGATGAATATGGTACTTCAAATTTTCACTTTACATTTATTAATTTCTCCAAACACATGAACATGATGATCATATTCCAAATATGATTTTTGGTTGATTATTTAATTACTAGGCAACTTGAATCAACCCAAATATGGGCACTTGAAGGAGCTCCATGCCATTCTCCATTCAATGGAGAAGCTTCTTACCCATGGCGATGTTTCAAACCAAGACCTGGGGAATTCCATTTCGGTATATATATATATATATCTATATATATATAAATAATTATAAATCTTATTTGCAGACAAACTTGATTACTTTGACAAGTTTAATTAATTTTGTGGGGGATATGTACATGCAGGTGACAACATACAAGACAAGTGATGGATCTGGTTGTTTCTTGAGCAATACAAATACAACAGCGGATGCTATGGTCAATTTTCAAGGAGCATGGTATGATGTTCCTGCATGGTCTGTTAGTGTACTTCCCGACTGTAAGAATGAAGCATACAACACTGCCAAGGTAACGTACATAATATATTAACCAAATTAATTAAAAAGAAATATAATATTAATTATTAAATTAGCTAGCTAGATCTAGATATATATATATATATATATATATATATATACTCATCTGATTCTGATATTGCATGCATGTGTGAAGGTAAACACTGAAACATGGGTGATGGAGATGAAAGCGAATGACGCAGAACATGAACCAGCAGATTTGAAGTGGGTGTGGAGGCCTGAGATTATCGATGATACTGTTATCAGAGGGGATGGTCAGAGAACTGCTTCTAAATTAATGGATCAGAAAGTGGCTAATGATGTTAGCGACTACCTGTGGTACATGACCAGGTATATATACACACGTATTTCAGAACGAACTACATGATGCATTAGCATTAGTTAGTTAATCAATTTTGGGTCGTTGAGAATTAATGTAAGTTAATCATAAATTAACTTGTATGTATATGCATGCAGTGTGAATCTTGATGAAAATGATCCAATTTGGAGTGAGGATATGAGGCTGAGAGTGAATTGTACTGGCCAAGTTCTTCATGCATTCGTGAATGGTGAATATGTTGGCAAACAATATGCTAAATATGGAATTTACAATTATGTTTTCGAGAAGAAGATTCAATTGAAACCTGGCCCTAACCAGATAACCCTACTTAGCGCCACTATTGGGTTTCAGGTAAAATGACTGAACATTAGCTAGTAGTATTCATTATCTTTTTCTTTTACCAATTCAATTAAACTATATAAGATCATGCATGTTAAGTTAAAGATATGAAATGTATGTATATATATATATATATATGCAGCATTACGGATCGAAATTCGATGTGGTTGCAAATGGTGTGAGTGGTCCAGTAGAGATCGTGGGAAAGAAAAATGATATAAGGGTGATTAAAGATGTGTCATCCCAGAAGTGGTCTTACAAAGCCGGCATAAACAGCATTGATCGCAACAATAAGCTTCTTAAAGTCGATTCTTCCAAGTGGAAAGCTCAAGAACTTCCGACACAACGAAAAATGACATGGTACAAGGTAGGTCAGATCGATGTGTATATATGGTATATAGTTTGAGTATTTGCATGGGTTAATTAAGAAATTGTTGGATGCATGACAGACGACATTCAAGGCACCAATAGGAAGAGATCCGGTGGCATTGGATCTGGAAGGACTGGGTAAAGGACTTGCATGGGTGAATGGGATGAGCATCGGGAGATATTGGCCAAGTAACATTGCAGAAGACAAGAATTGTACGAATAAGGCTTGCGATTATCGTGGTAAATATGACAACTATAAATGTGTTAGGTATTGTGGGAAAGCAAGTCAGAGGTGGTATCATGTTCCACGATCATTCTTGGTGGAGGGAGAGATGAATGAGTTGGTTTTGTTCGAAGAGTTTGGAGGCAACCCATCTTTGGTGAAGGTGCAGACAGTGAGGGTTGGAAGGACATGCGGGAATGCTTACGAGAACAAGACGATGGAGATACGGTGCCAAGGTGGGAGCATCAGGGATGTCATATTTGCTTCATTTGGAGACGTTCAAGGGAGGTGTGGCTCCTTTGCAAAGGGAGCTTGTCAAGAGAAAAATGATGCGCTTCACATAATAAAAAAGGTATACATGTACATATCCATCATTGTTCAAATATTAATTTGCTAATTAATTGTTTATAAATATCAATTAATTAATTAATTAATTACTCTCTCTCTCTCTCTCTATATATATATATATATATATAAAACAGGAATGCGTTGGGAAGGAGCAATGCCTTGTTAGAGCAGATGAAGGCGTGTTTGGATCCAAAAACTGCCAAGGCCTCCGGAAGAGACTTGTTGCTGAAGCAGTTTGTTGATTTGATTTCTTTGGTTTTTCAATTTACAAATTAAGAAGCAACTGATTAATTAAGCTACGTAGCTATCTTCATGGACTTTATTTCCTTTAGTAATTTCCCATCCATATCTAAATTAACTAAGTTTATCTTAATTAATTTAATTTGTTTCTTTAAACAATATTATTTAATTAATATAATCCTTAATTTGATGACCCAATTACTGAGTTAATTAATTAATAATGGAGGTGAATTAATTGCATATAAAAACAATAATATATAATTAGGGTAATTCTTCCAAAGAGTTACAGTACATAGTAACTAATTAAGAGAAGAAAAAAAGATGAGACGTGGTTAATTGTTTGTTTCAAAAATCAAAACATATAAGAGCACCCCCACCCCCACCCCCTTTTGCTTTGGTAAATTTATAAAAATAACCGTTTTACACAAACCTTTGCCACAAAATAACTACATTTTAAAGGTTTTGTCAAAATAACAATCCGGATCACCCCCGGTACATAATGGGGGCGATCCCCTTAAAAAAGTAAAAAAAAAAAATTCCTCAAAAGTCGAGATTACTGTTCACCTCGTTGACCGTGTTTGACCTCGCCCGGGGGCGATCCATACTATTCACGGGGGCGATCCGTACTGTTCACCCGTGAATTTTTTTTTTGAATTTTTTTTAAAATTGAAGTTGTATTTTTTTAACTTTTTTAAAACCAAATTTCATGAGGAAAAGATTTAAAAATAAATCTTTATAATTATGGAGACACAAAAATTAATGTTTTTCCCCAAAAATCGGCGTTATAGAGTTGTCATATCATCAAAAACCGTGAAATCATATATAATGTCTGATTTTTTCTCCAAAAATCAACTAAATATTTTTTTTCGTAACCACAATTATCATCCGGTTATTTTATAACAAAAAACCGTGAAATTTAAAATTAAAAACAAAAAAATAGAGGTCAAATTTCGTCAATCAGATATTATATCTGATTTCCRAAAYACAAAACADARAAAWTTAATTTTTGCGTCTCCATAATTATAAAGATTTATTTTTAAATCTTTTCTTCATGAAATTTGGTTTTAAAAAAGTTAAAAAAAATACAACTTCAATTTAAAAAAAAAAAAAAATCATGGGTGAACAGTACGGATCGCCCCCGGGCGAGGTCAAACACGGTCAACGAGGTGAACATTAATCTCGACTTTTTAGGATTTTTTTTTACTTTTTTAAGGGGATCGCCCCCATTATGTATGGGCGATCCGAGTGGTTATTTTGGCAAAACTTTTAAAATGTGGTCATTTTGTGGCAAATAGTTGTGTAAAACGGTTATTTTTATAAATTTCCCTTTTGCTTTTACTTTTACTTTTACTAGGGGTTTGTGTTAAGATATAATAAAATAAAACAAACTTCATTCACGGATTTTTTTATTGGAAAATTCACTTAAATAACCATTTTATACCATCTCCACCAGCAAAATAATAATTTTGAGGAGTTACGAAAATGAACACCCGAATCGCCCCCGGAGGGCAATCCGTACACTAGGGGGCGATCCCCTTTAATTTTCTTAAGAAAAAGTAGAAAAATAAATAATAAAATAATTTAGGTGGGTCCCACATGTTACCTAAAGAGAAGATATCACTATTCAGTCTCGATTCGCGTTCCCGATCCCTTAGGGGGAGATCCATGTCAGCAAACAACCCCCCGAAGGCGATCCACGTCAGCACCCCCGGGGGCGATCCAGCCCATAAACCCTTTTTGTTTTTATTTTTTTTGCGGTATTTTTAATTAAACTGATACGCTATTTAAATTGTATTTTTTTAGAACCAAATTTCATAGTTAAAGGTTTAAAAATAAACCACGATAATTATGGAGATGCAATAATTATTTTTATTTGATTTAGGGGGACGTAAATCGGATATTATATCTGATTTACGAAGTTTGACCGCTATTTCGTCTTTTAGTGTTCTTGATTTGACGACGATTTGACAATTAAGTGGTGTTTTTAATAAAAATGAAACAATACTTAAATTGTGTTTTTTAACCTATTTAAGTAAAAATTTAATGGTTTTTTTGTTATAAAATAAAACCATGATAATTGTGGTGACGAAAAAAATTATTTTGAGGTGATTTTTGGGAAAAAAAAATCCGATATTATATCTTATTCACGTAGTTTGACTGCGTTATTCGTCTTTTCGTGTCTATGACGGCGATTTGACGATGTATTTTGTCTTATTACTTAACGTTTTATATAAATAGGCACTGGTGGTGGGACCATAATCTCACCATCCCCACCGTGAATCGCTCGTTTTCTCTAGAAAAACCGATCTTGGACCATCCCCACCGACCATCCCAACCAAAAAAGACCACCATTCTTCGATATACCGTCATCCACCACCGTTTGACGACATCGACCACCTTCCGCCGCCAACGACCACCATGATCCGCCGCCATCCACCACCGTCCGCCGCTATCCACCACCTTCCGGCTCCACCGACCACCGTCCGCTGCCATCCACTATGGAAACACCAGTAAATATTCTATCTATCTATATCTGTATATATGTATGTATCTAGACTACTTGGTTTTGTATGTCTCTCTATATATATCTATATATATGTGTATCTATCTATAGGGGCCTAATCAAATGAGAAATGATTAGTTTGTGGCAACTGTGAGGTCCAATTTTGAGTTAAAATTATAATTAGAGGGTATATTTGGTATTTTTTAAAAACTCATCTCTCCTCTCTCATCTCTCCGACCTCCAATCTCCGGCCTCCGATGAAATCGGTATCACAGTATATCATAATGGGTATCACATTGTGTATATTTGTTTTTAAGGTTTGAGTTGGTATCACAGTATATCACAAATGAGTATCACATTGTGTATTTTTGCGATTACTTGGTGCCTGCCGGATTAATGTTCACCGGAGGCCGGAGAGATGAGAGAGGAGAGAGGAGAGAAAAGTTTTTTAAAAATGCCTAAAATGTCCTCTAATTATAATTTTAACTCAAACTACCATAATTATTAATTTTCTAATTTATCCGTTGATTTGTGGTTGATATTGGATCTCACAGTTACCACAAACTAATCAGTTATCCCTTGAATGGACCCCTCTATCTATCTATCTATATATATATATATGTATGTATGTATCTATATATATATATATATATGCATATATATATATATATATATTTACATGTATGTATGTATTAATGTATATATACATGTACATATATACGTATAAAAATACGTACATACATACGTAAATATACATAAATATGCGTATGTATGTAAATACGTATATATATATATACACGTATTGTAACATCCAATTTCTAATATGCCCAATTATTTGCTTAGTATATTTAATTATTGGGTTAAATAGAACTTATGATTTAGTGGGAGTTTGGGTATGAAGTTTTAGAATTTTATTTCTTAAGAATATATTAGAGGATTTGGGAAAATTTTACGTCGAAAAGATACGTAAAACTGATTTTCTTGGGAGATATTTTCTGGAATATTGTTGTTGGATGTTATAGATTATCTCTTTATGAGCGTGTAGGCGAAAACCTCATAGAAAACGGAGTTCCGAGCGAAAATTTATGAATATTTTAAGTGTTGATGGTCAAAATGGGTACCTAACCGGGCCAACCCGGCCCAACTCGAGTTTTAGCATTATAAATTGGAGTTTTGGCCCATTTTTCATGTTATCTAAGTCCAGAACTCACACACACATTAGAGGTGCGATTTTCACACACATAGACTTGATTCAACTCAAATCAAAGAGGAACTACAAGATCTTTGAAGGATTTGATCATCAAGTAAGGTATAATCTATTTTTGCACTTGTTCTTGGTTGACATTCTTGTTTTATGGATTGCATGATGAGATAGAGTTAGGGTTTCATATGGGTTTGAACTTAAGTGTATAAAATGAGTGCATTTTAGTGTTTTTGACATGAAATGGTCATTAGATTCAAGAGATTATCGAGATTTATGCAAGTTCATCATATGAACTTTGACTTGATTAAGTCATTGATTTGGGAGATAATATAAATGATAAAATAAAGGTTGGATTTTGGATGTTTATGTCAAATATGTTATATTAAGTTGAKATTCAGAAGTTRGWATATTTTGGAATCGAAATGGTTTGAGGAAAATGTATGAAAATGAGAATTTCGACTTTTGAATGCWTTGAAAGTGTGCAGACTTTGAAAATCTGTATAAAATCGTAGAAAAATCCAAATAAGGTGAGGCCAATTTTCTTAGTTAGATATTTGAGTCTAGTTTATTTCTTATTTTATGATCAATGCATGAATTCGAGCTTAAAATAGGCAAAACAGTTCTGCATGCAGCAGCTGTACATAGAAATTTAGGTAAAATGTTCAAATAGGATATGTGTATATCATGGGTTTCTTATATCGGTTGCTTATGAGATTTTGTACATTTACTCCAAGGGGTAATTAGGACATGTTTTGATACTTTGGAGGCAATCTAAGTGTGGTGAGCTCAATTCGGAGCTTTTCGGTATTACACGGTTGCCCGGTGAGTTATTTAGTTAATTGTTACATATTGATTTGAACATATATATTTTCATATGAATGTTTTGGTCTTGAATGGAGTCACACGATCTTGATTTGTCTTTGATTCCGTCTCTTGAGTCGATTCCATATTACTATCTCGGTACATCGGTCTGTTTTCCGGATCCGGACTTATTTGTTTTGCTCCATGTGTTGTACGCCATAGTACGGGTACTACTTCGTGTGGCACGCCGAAAGTTTATGGCGAAGTCAAGATCCCGGGTTGGACGGGTGAGACTTTCTGC